TTTTGGCTTATAACTAATTATGTTTGTTTTGTATTTTGGTATCCAAGAGACAAAAACATTTTTGATGGTAATAAGCATTTAGTGAAATTCTGAATAGTTCCATAAAATTTAGGTTAATAAAAAGTAAATGTGTTGGTTACACAGACTTTCCTAAAACTTATAGAGTACTCTTAGTTGGAAGTATTCAGCTTCAAGGTTAGCAACACTTACGCGACAAACTTTAAAAAGAAGATACAGTCTAGTCTTCGATAAAGAAATTGGGAAGAAATACTGATCAAAGACACCAAAAACCTTATTAAAATTCTATATGCACGAATTCCAGCAAATCTTTAGGTTTTTGGACAAAGAACAACATAGTTCCCGGACCATCCAATGCTAGATCGTGAAATCAAATATCTAATAATCAATGCAATCCTTGATGATATCATCTCAAAAGACAACGAAAACTTCACGACCAAACCATTTATTTTTTTACTTACTTACGCTTGTTACTCCCAATGGAGCACAAGCCGCAGACCAGCACTCCTCAATTCACTCTGTCTTTGGCCTTTCTTTGTAGTCCTATCCAATTGTTGTACATTATCCTCATGTCTCTCTCCATTTCTCGGCGTAATGTGTTCCTTAGATCTTCCCCTTATCCTTTGGCCTTGAGGATTCCACGTGAGGGCTTGCCTTGTGACGCATCTGGGTGCTTTCCTCAATGTGTGTCCTATCAACTTCCAGCGCTTCTTCCTGATTTCTTCCTCCGCTGGAATCTAGTTTGTTCTTTCCCACAGTAGGTTGTTGCTGATAATGTCTGGCCAGTGGATTCGAAGTATTTTGCGTAGACAACTGTTAATAAACACTTGTATTAAACCATATGGCTGAGAAATTTTATAACCTATGAACTTTGCAATTCATTGTTACGTCAATTTCTTAAAACCTTGGACTATGAGTAAATAAATGTTCAATGTTTTCCCAGATGATGGTCGAAACACCCTTGAAAATATTATCGAATAAAATTTAACTACTTACAAGTAGTTAACAGTGAGTGACCAAAAACTAGTGATGAGGGTGAAATGCTTAGGAAACTAAATTATTTCGTCTCATAAAAGAACACTTCCTCACATTTTTGTAAGAAATCCAGCAGTGCATAAATGTGAACACTTAATACAAACTGAAATTCATCCCTTTTATTCGACGCTTTAAACGAAATTTTATGTCCGATACTATACAGAATATCAGAGTACAAAATGCAGTCTTCACAAGTCGTGAATTTAAGATTTCCTGACATGTTCTGGGCTAAACGCAGAGAATACATTGATTTATATTTTTTCTAGAATAGGAAATTTCGCTAACACGATAGTCACCGAATGAGACATAAACATGATCTGTTTAACAGAGATTTTGGTTCTTTTTGTGCACTCGTAATCACCAAGATCAACTCATTGATGACTTTCGTAAAAGTTATTTGGAATACTGTACAGAATGGACACTATTTTTCCAACCGACTATTTTAAAAAGACGATGTGAAAATATAAACCTGGTATTATTATTAATGGGAATCAAGTATTGTTGAGTAAAAAATTCGTTATTAATTTCTGTGCGAAACAATAATCAGATTGATGATCAATGGAGGTTTATATTATTTGTAGTTTATTTTAGAAGCAAAACAATTATCAGTATAGGGTTGTGGAAATTATTACGATTTCGATTGAGATCATGAACCGATTGATGTTAGACCACCAATGAAAACTTGGAAGCACTGGACGGCCGTTTCGTCCCATCGTGTGACTCCTCGGCAGTGTGCATCCACGATCCCTCCTGTTTTATAGGGATAGGTATCTACCTCATTGCAATGGAAGATGGTCGTGCAATTTCGTGGTTTGGTTGAGGTTAGACATTAACACCGTTGGATGCCTGTCGGCTCAGACTGAGGGCCCTTAGTTCGAATCCCACAGGCGAGATCGTGTATGAGTCCCGCAATAGGACGAAACGGCCATCCAGTTCTCCCAGGTTTTCAATGGTGATATAACATCAATCAGTTCATGATCTCCATCAAAACAATTGTATTTATGTTTTCAACACTGTCGCTTTCAATTAACATTGTGACAATTTCGGATGTGAGTGACTTTGCTTAACTTATTCCATTTGATTGTATCATCTGTAATAAAGCTAAAACATGATTTTAAATGTTCGAAAATAGCTCATTCATTGCGTTTGTCTACTCACAAACATGAGGCTGCTACACGTTTGCTTACATGATTTTAAAGCAATGTATTTTCAAAAGATTTAAAAAAGCATTGATAAAACAAAATTAGTGAAACGAATACTTTTTGTAGTTCCTTTAGGATCCCAATATAATTAACATGATTTGTAATAAAAACCTGTCTAGAATAATCGCGTTTATGTGTAATGATTAAGCTGATCATATAATATGAAACATCGACCATTATATTAGGTCAAGGGGTTCGGTGCGGTAAGCCTATAGTTTATCATCATTTGTGTAACTGTTTTAAAACTACTAGCCAAGACTGGTTAATATTTATCAGGATTGAGTTAATGGCAATCATTATTGATTATTTAGTAAAAGGTGAAGAATGCTGAGTTCAGTCAGTGTTGCAATATGACCCGTAAGCAAATGCTCTGCTAAACGTCCAGTAACTGATAAAGTGTGCATGAGAAACCATACTAACTCATTTGTTACGTAGGATAATTGCCAGTGCTATTATATGATAAATTTGAAGTTTAAAAAAATCTTGACTGGTGAGCTCAAACTTAGTAATTTGTTTACATGTCTTTTAATATGATGTGGATTTTTTCACAATGAACAACCCATTGAGTTGAAGACGATGAGAGTTCCTGAACTGTAACGTAAATTCAACTGAAACGAAAACTGCCATGTGATTTATCAACAGCTGCATCAAATCAGGTCGCTACCCATTACGACCGGCGGAGTCCATCCTAATAGAAAGACACTGAAACGCCACACCCTGAACCAGACTGACGCCTTGCATTCTGATATTAAAGAGATGTAGATGAATGTTTTTTGCAAAAAATACTTTGTAGAAGACCTAATGCATGATTTGAGGATACCCACTATGGACTGTGTTACGAACGCTACAGAACAGAGAGCAGTGAAGAAACGTTTCCATCTATTGAAAGGTCTGGGATATCAAACAGTTGAAAACAAATTTCCAGCCGATTCCAAAAGATGTCTCCACAATTCCTCAAGTGTTAAACTCGAGGTATTATCCTTAGGTCTGAAATTCTGTGATACCCGTAATCGCTCTAACCACATAGATACAAATACACAGTTCGAAAACCTATAAATTCAGACACGGGATTTAGTTGCAAATTCTGACCAACAACTAGAACATTCGGAATCAAATATTGTAAACTGTTGTTACTAGTATAAGAACAACAAATTCAATTGCAAAATCATTCTCCCAATGAAGAACAAGAAGGCTATTAACATGCTCCTAAAGAATGAAACGTTAATGATTACGAAGCCTGGCAAAGGTTCAGCGGTTCTTCTTGATAAAATGGGTACCATCTTAGATGACAAATTAAAATTTCAAAAACTAACCGACTAGAAATATCTCGATGATAAGATAGAGAATGAACTAATGAGATCTTGTCAGAAACTCAGGAACAAACAGAGAATTTCATCAGACTTATACGAAATGATTAAACCAGTGGGAACTCATCTGCCAAGGTTGTATGGATTACTGAAGGTACACAAGCCGGGCATCCCATTGAGACCAATTTTAGATATATATAACTTTCCATAATATACTATAGCTAAGTGGTTGGTAATTATATTGAAACCTTTCAGTGACGAACTTGTAAAATAGTGTTACGGGTGTATTCAAATTTGTTGACAAAATCAAAAACTCAAATGCTATGGAGCAATCGACGATGTCTTTGGATGTAACACCATTATTCACAAACGTTCTAGTAATGGAGACTATATAATATGTATGTGAACAACTTGGAGAAAATGAGACCGAAACTGAAACTCCGATTAATGTTGTGAAAGTTATTACTGAAATACACCATGAATTTGAATTTCGAGTTTAATGGAGAAACCTATAGACAAATGGAGGGAGTTGGAATGGGTTCACTATTGGGTCCCACACTAGCTGACATTTTTCTAGCCAAGCTAGGAAATGGTCCACTCAAAAATTCACATTTTACTGTCGATATATGGATGACACGTTCATCCTCTGTGTTATGATTTTATGTCCGGCTTTTACCACGTGATCTATCCACCAATCGAAATACGACTTATACAATCTTAACACTAAGCCAAACCAATGACGTTCAACCGGTATGAGCAGCCTAGCGTCCTTATTGGTCCTATGTCCTCCTAGCCCGTCCGCTTGGATCCAGAACACAATACCAGCTTCTGCAATATAAATCCAATCATTTATTTCAGACATACTCGGTTTGTATATCAACCAGACAGACCACAACGTACCATAAAATAAAAAATAACATTTGTACAATATTTGGCCAGATGTGGCTGTGAGCGTGGGAGGCAGTAGTCAATAAAATGAACATTGCTTAAGAACCGTAAATCGTACAATAATAAATTACAGGTCAAAATAAAGCTTATAATAAGAGGAATATAAATATACATAATCTAATTATTGAATAGTTATACAATAAGAATATTTGTCCATTAATAGTCCACGGAAGTTACAACTAGAGGTTATCAGGCAATTTAATGAAGTAGAACCAGCTATTAAGTTTACATATGGGGAAGAAAGTGAAGGTAGAATAACCTTTCGAAACGTTCTCTTAACCAAAAGAGCTGACGGATTTATAAGAAAGAATTTAAACAGAAAAAATACCTGGACAGGTTACTACACACATTTCCTTAGCTTTGTACCTCTACAGTACAGAGAAACTTGATATAGTTGAGAAAGAGCTAAACGCCTTGCTTAATGCACTTAGGGGTAACTGATACCCCAGAAAATTTATGAATGAGTATACGATCACGAGGATTCGAATAGGCGAGATACAAACAGCGAATAAGAAATCCCTTTTCATGGACCTAAAATTCAGAGGTGATGCAGCTAGCGAAACATTAGTCCACAGATTACGCAGAACAACTTAACAGTCATTCACCGTCGGAGAAATAGGACCAGTGTTTTATACACACCCAATGGTGATACCGAGGCTAAAAAGACGAGTTACCTAGAATGACTTCATTTTTGTATTTATCAATTCCACTGCTCTTATAGAGCAAGTTATATTGGTTGGAGTTCTAGGAATTTACATTTTCGTGCCCGCGAACACTTCCCAGTATGGCTAAACAAAGGTCTAGTGAAGAAGGTGAGTGGTTCGATAATGTCCCATTTAGACCAAATTGGCTATAGTGTCAGCACAAGCCAATCTTTTTCAATTACTTATTGGGTCAGACATTTTTTGCCAAAGCCTGTCAGACTGTTTTTCAAATGACGGGAACAGTAGCCATTCAGATTACGAAACTGAAGCTGTGTACAAAAGAAATATCTTCAACCGATTCTCCCCCCTCTTGGCCAAACTCAGGGCCAATTAGTCAATAGTAGTCATAATTTGACTAACGTACTTACAACCTCTCTTAAACAAATATAATTGTGATCAGAAATCTCCATACTGAAATATAATTTTCTTTTTTGACATGTGGTAGTGAAAGCACCACGTGACTGTTCATTGCGCGTGGACAGACAGGCACTCAGCCTAGTGACTATTAAATTTGTACAAGCCACCCAGCTTCTTGTACCTTACAAACTGAAAATGATTTTATCGACTTGAAAAACAAAACAAGAACAACAAATTTATTTTATGTACTTATTACTTAATTCGGATGGAAAAACAGAATTTTATATTTTATGAAAAATAAACCCAAACGAAATAATTTATTACCATAACATAGAAATGATATATTGAATTGGTACACAACAACAGTACCAATTATAATGCACATCAAAGTTTATACATGTTATCTGTAAATTTATCTGAATTTAAGCAGTAGATATAGGTTTCCCATTTTCATGAAGATTTAAATCCCTTTCAACCAGCATTGCAGTTGTTTGATGCATAAATGGACGTTGTTCATAGAAATTGTTTATTGTTCGCTCTTTAGCTTCTGGCCATTCGTTTAAAGCGCTGAGTAAAAATTACATAAGAAGTGTGTGAAATTAAAGAAAAGACCATTTATACTAGTATAAAACTAAGACTAATGTTAAACCTGAGAGCAACAAAAAGACATAGGTTCAAGTTTTCACAGTTCACAAGATCACAAAACCACGAAATGAATAATGAAGGAAAGATGTTTAAAAAAAATGATATCAGTTAACACAGCATGAAGATTATTAAAGAGTGACTATATCAGCATCACTGTAGTACAGTCTAAGATACTACTTATAACCTTCGATAACATTCTTATTATCTTGAGAACAGAATAGACAAAGTTTGTACTTTTCTATACGACTCATACCAACAGTTAGCGTATTCCTTAACTGTAGATATAATGAGATGAAGTCAACTTTTTCAATATTTATGTCTTAATTTGTTTAAATACCCAGATATATATAGTGACGTTTAGACTTTAAAAAAGAACAAAGGACCGAAAGTCGATTTCACTTGGATTCTTAAAAAAATATATTAGATACATACTCCTAGAATCGATAGATTCTAAATTTAATTCCAACCATGAATTGCGGATAGTAAATGAATTTTGAAATCAAATGAACGTCAAAAACACCTTAGTGATTTATTTAATTGTAGTTGAAGTTCAATAACCAAGTGCATATTTGTTCTGTGTTCTCACATATATATGCTGTGTAGAATATCGATAGATATGCGCAATATTAAGCACCTTAATTTAGAAAACCGACGTTTTATTATTAGTTGTGAAATCCCCAAATAACCCGATATAAACAGATTCCGAAAGTTTACAGAACATGTTTACAAAACTAAAGAAACAAGGCGAACCTTGTATTTTTAGGGCCTAATCCCCACAAAGATTAGGAACATGATAAACCAACTGTCTATCTTCAGTTTTAAATAACCTTTTAACTAGAACTGCGTTTATATGTCTTAGGATATTTTTAATCACTTTAGGTGGAATACAAAAAGATTTTTGGGAAATTTATTAATAACATTAAGTGGATTATTAGTTAAGAAAATTATACAAAATATACCCAAATTACCGATATATGGTGCGAGTATACTTCATACGACCCTGACTGTTTAAAAATTCAAAAATGTGACCCAACGCAGGTAAATGACGGGAAACAATACAGATTAGACACCACCTAAGAATAAGAAAACAGTAAGACCCTCGTCAAAAAGATTATTTACATTAAATACTTTTAAAAAATTATTTAGACCAACAGTGAGAGTCAATCAAGAAATGAAGAATATTATTGGAGGAGCGGAAAAATATTAAATAATTTACGTTACGTTTCTTAAATTTTCTACATTACAAACTATTCTTAGAAATTAAGAAAAAGTTAGTCATCCTTCTATGACTTGTGAATAACCTAGTGGGAAAACGAGAACGGTTTAATCAACTTTATTGGAAAATATTGTCTTCATTTAAAATATATCCCCATAATTACTTTACTTATTGTCCATTCAGAATATAACTACTATGTATTTGCAACTATCAAAAAAGGGAACGGATAACTCAACAACTGATCAATTGTTACAAACTCTTGACCCAAAACCTTTTTAATTTCGCCTCATTCTCAACAAATTGTCTTTAAATTTTACTCACCAAACACAAAATAATCGATACTGTATTCACTGAAATATCAACTAACTAATATTTAACTGCTTCCAGGTTTTCAGTGGTGGTCTACCTTAAATCGACTCATGAACCCAAATATTAATATCTAAGTGCTTGAAATGTCCTCTGAAAAATTAGGTGAATAAGACTAACAAATCTATCGATAAAACACTATAAAAGCTACCTGACATCAGGGTTGCAATGATAATTAGTCTAGAAGACAGCAATCACAAAGTACTTGCGCCCAGTTAACGAGTAGTACTCCTAAACTCACGAGTGTTACGATGTGGCATTTTTATTCTGAGGAGCAAACTAAAAACCATATGACTAGCCCTTGATATTTGACTAATGAACCAACACGGGCCTCCAAGAAACCGAGAAAAACAGATGCTACTGACACTGTGTACTGTAAATTAAGAACCTTATGGTATTTATTTAACCTCCACCACGCCTAGCAATCATATTTTACTCCCAATTGTCAAATGAGGAAGAAACTGACTCGAAATGAATAGCTAAGTAGTATCGCCAGCAAAACACAGAATACGAATTATCCATTCAATAAAACACTTTGTTATATATAAACAAAAGAGAGGAAAATATGTTTGTATTTATTTGTTCACATAATTTCACGAGTTGTCAGGATAAATATAAGCAGAGCCAAGCTTTGTTATGTTATCAATGACGATAAAGTTACGCTTTCTCTTCATAATGCCCAATACTTAGTAGACTATGTATATTGTAGCATTCATGTTTCTACACGTTTATAACTGTTTCGTTGATGAAGAACAATTATGGTATATACTGATTTAGCTGAAAAATCATTTCCAACCATGTATTAGGTGGAAAAAATAACAGTATTAAAGTACTTATTCCAGTAATTTGTTGTATGGTAGATTATCCTATGGCTAAACACACAGAACAAACTTTTGAGAAAACTACAAAATAAAGCAGGAACGAACAATAATCGTTACATTTGAAAAAATTGCTTACTGTACTCGTATCTCAGCATTTTTCTGTTTAGATAACTGTAATAATTCATCAATTTTGCATAAGTTATTAACATTTAGTGGTTCAGAGTCGACAACGTGGCGTAAAGTTAATTCACGTTGTACATGTGACATCTTATTCCACAGTTGAGTCAAACTTTGTATTTCAGTAACATTTGAACAAAGATCAGATGAAGTAAGTAATTTTTGCATACTGTCACATTCTGAAAGTAACTCGTCAGCATCGAACCTTATGAGACAGTAAATTACAAGAATTAAACGAAATATTTCAATCCGTTACAATATGTTCAGTAAGAACTTGATGGTTGAAAGATGAAAATTTATAAATGATTGTGCAACAGTATCATATACATATTAAAGGCCACACCATATTAGAACGTGATGAGAATTGTGAAACTTTAGCAAAATGATATCAAATAAAATAATTCAAACATAAACATACCCGTCAAGAGATTAAATCGAAACAAACCATACACATAGGTAAACAATGGCACTGAAACTCACAATCAAGAATATTCATCAAGCTATTAACAAGTATGACAATCAGGATAATATGTAGCACTGGTGCGACATCACATAGATTACTAAGAATCTTGTGCAAAGCAGAGGGGGGAAGTAACCCCTACCATGTGGCTGTAAGAAATGACAATGTGAAGGTATTTGGTTGGAGCAGTATGTAAAGCACGTGAGTGGGTCTCTTCATTGTATCATCATTTCAATTTCTGACTGGGTTATGCAAGTTAGTTGATTAATAGACTTAAAAATTGGAATCTCATGAGATAGCTTAGATATTCTGCACATACTTACAGTAATCAGTGACAAGGTACGATTGTTAAACCAAGACATGAAAGCGACAAGTGTACTAATTGATTAATAGTTCAGAGTTATTAAAATTTCTATACGGGATTCATAGTAAGTACAGTAAATAAATTCATCCAGGCGGCTCTAGATCATCTTATCTCTGAAGCTTTTACACTGAAGAATGTAGTTTCTCACATCAGGAAATTCTATATCGCTTTTGTTCTTCTTGCAGGAAGATCCAATATTTGGATGTACTCTACTAAAGATGTTCAAATCCTCATGTTTACTGGTCTTTTGAAAAATGATAACCGTATTATTTATACGAATTTAAAATTTTTTGAGCTTATTCAGTACCAGCTGGTAGCTCAATTTCCATTTTTACTAAACGGATATTGATTAATATAAAACTAGGAAAATATCCTTTTACAACTGCATCTGCATACAAATTTCATTGTTAAGCATAAAATAAGTATTTATTGTTTAGACATTTTGTTTAACCGAATTAGTTTTCATTTTATAAATTAATTACATATCTAGTCGGTAAATTCTATGATCGGAATATTTATAAACGAAATATGACTTTGAAATAAGAACAGATCCTTTTTTTAATTCATTTTTTTACTTTGCTTATGAATTCAAATAAGCTTTTCACATTAAACTAGGAAACGATGTTATGTTTCTAACGGTTTAGCCAACTATTATTTTGTTAAATGATAACAGTGAGATATAAGTGAATAAGTTTTAAAGGTATATCCAATTTATGAACCTTTAACTACTCATATTATGTATGCGTTTTAGTGTTTAAGTGTATCATAAGTTGATTTGAAATGTGCAGTTATTTTTCTCGTAATTTTTGTGTTTCAGTCAGCTAGCTCTCTACTATTCCTGTTATGCTATCAAAAACACCTAATTTTGGATTTCTGTTCAGATAAATTATCAACAAATCCATTACTGATACAAAGAAACAGTAGTAAGGGATCAGAGATGAATCTATCACAATTGTGTAATACCACCTGAACTGCTCTTGTGAGGGCAGTTACATAGGCCACATTTAAGAAGCATTATTTCTCCGCAGTTGCAAACCTGTACTGATTTGGACGATAAAATAAATTATTAAATCAACGAATGACAGTATTCTTTTCATCTGGTAAGTAATGAAGACTACACCACAGCAAAGGGCAACTCCCTCAGTTTAACACAAGGTTCCATATAATTTACTAAAGTGTACAACCAGATTATGGCCTCTCTATACGGTGGAATCACTTAGCAAAACCTGATCTATATCTATAATGACATATTCGTCCTGTTTCCTCACTTCCACCATGGGATTATTTTACTGATGATCGAATTGGTTAGCTTGACTGCATATGCTGAAATTTAAACTATTTGAAAAACTTTAGGCATTTTGAAAATGGACTATATGAAGAATGTTGGATCATTAATAATCTTGAATCATACTTCACAAAGTTATTACATGGATGGGATTCAGGAGAAATTTTTCAGTAAACCTAGTAACAAAATTTGTAGAACCCTCTGCATATATCAGCTAGTGTCTTAAGTGTTTACGTTATACTAACAGTGATCGTTTATTGCAGTCGGAACAGAATCATTATAGTAAGATAAAGGTTCAGAAGAAGCGAGAACGAAAGATATAACTCTGAAAGAGAGTTCCACTTGGTGTAGTAAATAGGTAATAAGTTATATCTATCACATACGGGTTAATTATAATAACCGCTTCACATAGGGCTTTAAGTGCAGTGGATGTAAACTCGGTGAATAATTGATAGGAACTTGAGTCTCTAAACTTGTGGACAACGAACAATAAAAACTATTGCTTTGGGTTGTGTGTAAATATATAAATATATGATCGAGGAAGTTATGGTGGAAACTTATGTAAAATATAGTAAAAAAACGTTTACAGATGAGTTATAAACTGTCTTACTTTGGTATCCATGGGGGTAAACCTGGACTATGCATCCAAGCATCCAACTGATGTTTCGGGTTAAGTACATCGGAACCTAGTTGACTTGTTAAAAATTCCAACCAAGTATTTGAATTAAGTGATTTCCCAGAAAACTGTTTCACATAGGCTTTTAACCAATTAAGCATAGATTCTAAATAAGGTTTGCACAAAGAATGGTTTTTTAACATTTTGTACTATAAAAAGTTGCTCATTACATAAAATCTCCTTCAATATGTAAAATGTCATTACCTAATCAATTAAAGTGAATCTGATTGACCAAGTTTGCATCATTGTAAAAGGGGATAAAGATCTCTGAATTAATTAAAGACATTTCAGAGAAGAATTCTATATTGTACCAAAATATAATATTGAATAAAGCCATCAATAATAATAATATATTATTTTTCTGGTATCATTTCCCAGAGATACAAAATCATATTAATAATAATATCAAATAGATAACTAAATTATTAGTAGAAGGACAACATAACATTAACAGAATATCTGGGAGGAAAGCAATAGATTATTGTTTAAAGTAGAAAGATGTTGCGCGATAATCTGGAAGGCAATAAATAGAAACGACAAAGAAAGGATTCAATTCTGGGAAGCGGAAAACTTACAATGAGTGAAATATGAGAGTAAAATTTGCAATTATGAACAAGGCGCTAATAGGTAAAAACAAAAAAATAAAGAGAAACTTTTACAGAAGTTACGTTCCTAGGGTACTCTTGAATGAGAGGGCATGCATTAGAACAACCATCAAAAGAGTGGATATCAATAAAAGGGAGTATCAGTAAACATAAATCGCACAAGAGCGTGCACAGCAAAAACAATTTAATAACCTAAAAATGTAACGATAACATCGAAGGGTAACAAAAATTTGGCTTACCTTTTCCGTATAAAGTCTCTAAGTAGTAGAGTAAAAGAGATCCTTTTTCATATGGAATTCGACTATAAGCTTCGTCTGGATCAATACCTTCCAAGTCCACAATCAGCTTTGTCATTTGATCCGATGGGCCAAGTTTTTTGATCTGTTAATTTTGAAGAACCAAATAAGTCAGATTTTAGTTGTTAGTGTTTCCTAATCTGACTACTAAATGCAGTGTAACTCAATAACTTAGTGTATATCTGTGTATCAATCATAATCATCTAACTTAATGATATATTAGCTTAAACTCGTGGTTCAATAAATAAAAGTTGTAAAAGCCACTAGGCTACAGACCTATCAAAAGTTGTTAGTGTATATAGAAACCTTGTTTCCTACTTTCACATGTGCACTTGATAACCACAAAATCGACAGAAGTGCACTAATGCACATATGTTCAAAAATTCTCCTTGAACTTTATGACGAGTAGTTTAGGACAAGCAATCAGTATCTGCAGTGAGATTTTATCAAAAACCTATCCACCAACTTTACTCTAGCCCTCTTGAAGTATCTTAAATGATTAACACGCTCATCTATTTCACTTTCAATAGCCAAATAACACGTTAAGGACGCACCAAGAAACAGCATTTGTATTTGGAAGGTATGAAATGCATTAGAGTACAAGGTGTACATGGTGTACAAAAGATTGAATGTTGCTGTAGATTCGTCTAAAAGAACTGTACCTTCTGGATACTTTATGTTTATCCAGGTGCATATTATCAGTTCGTAAAGTAGGGAATAGAACGTCACATGTAAATGTATGTCTAAAAATGAGCATCTTCTCAAAGAAACATATTTGTCTCATACATTCTAATCCTTTGATAAAGTTAGATAAAGAGAGAAAAATATTTGCAGGACAAGATGAATTCAATATATTTCAAGACTTCTAATCAGCTGCATACGGCCTAAATTTATAACAAAAATATCATAAAAAGTGTTCCTACATACTATAATCAATCAAATTTAGTTCGAAACAATTTAAGAAACAAGAGGAATCAACATATTTAACATAATAGTTAAGATTGATTAGCATATTTGTGCTGAAAATAAAATCACAAAAAGGGGAGAAATCGGGGTAATGTTGTAAGTGATGATAACGAGATAATGTAACAGACAAGCGTTAAAATAATATAATTGCCTTACGTATTTGTTATGGTCATCAGAAAAATAATAATAAATCTTGATTATCCATATAATTACAGATGTTCTTACTCAAAATCAACAACGCATTTCTATAGATAGTGAGGCGCTACATTTAAATTGGGAAACGTAGCAATTTAATAATATTGATGTATCTTAGTAAACAAGCGTAAGTCTGTATATTCGGTTTTAAGAATGTTTAGTCACCGAAACGGAAGACGGTACAGCGGGATTCAAACCCCTGACCTAGTGGCTAAAAGTTATGCACCGTAACCATTGAACTACAGCTTTGCTTAGCTAGAATGAACCACATACTAGAATCCGACTGTTTTGCAGTTTTATAGGCCAATCCCACATCACAGGTAGAAATTAGACACTACAGACCGAAAAAGGATAACGGTACATATTCTGGTGGCATAAAGTTTGGTGTGAAATTAAAACTTTACGGTTACCTAAACTGAAAATTCTTGACCTGGCTAGAAAACGAACTGAATGTGCACTACTGAATTGTTCTATCAAACTCCATAAAGCTCTAGCAGAAGGAAATTTTCGCAGATGGGATTTATAAAGATTGTGATTTTGCAGAGTTTGGCTTTTAGACGAGGCTTTTTACGGATGATGAAAATCCGTAGGAGAGGAAAGGGTGAGGAATAACTTTACAACAGCCCTTCAACTATTCATTTCGACGATGAAGAAGGTAAATTCGCATTAGGTTATAATCGGCTTGAAAAACGCTTCAGAGATGCCAAACGATTGAACTTATCAGTGAAAATTGACTATATATAAACCCAAAAGTGTAATAGTATTTTGAACACCACATTAGCTGCTTTTGGTTTTAAGTTTTTCATGAAGTCTAGCTAACATGGCGATCATAAGAAAAGAAGTTTGTAGTCAATACAGCTCAATTAAGCCACAGAAACATTCACGACCGATTTACCACCACAAGGGGGAAAGCCAAGGTTACAAATCTCACCATACAAGTAGATGAAAATGATTGCCAAATGTTGCATAAGTATTAGCTGGTAATAACGACTGGTTGCTCATTATCCTCCACTAAAATTTATGACCTAGTGATGGCGGTAAAGATATCTGCCAAAGAATACTTCATTAAACAAACAAAAGAAAAAAATCCAAAAACAAAATAGCTTTGTTGATTGCATTAATGAAATTCGTGGGCTGTGGAACATAAAGGGAGACAACGGAAACAAAAACATTCGAACAGTAATTTTAAGTTGGTAAAAAATTTAGCGTTTTACGGATCGTCAAAGTAATACTACTTGCTCCATAAAATGAAGTGGTAAATAAAGGTTCAAAAATCCCCTCGTTTAATTAATGGGGTTTAGTTAAATTAATACACCTTACTTCTTCCAACAGTTCCTTGTAGCCTAAACTTAAATGAAGGTGCCTCATATGCGACCCATGAATACGTTCTTCAATTAAGCGTTCCAAATACACAGTATGTCCTTCGTTTAACCAAAAATCCTCCCAATTTGAATTTGTTACTAAATTACCAGTCCATGAATGAGCGATCTCATGAGCGATTACGTTAGCTAACGATCGATCACCAGCCTGAAATATATAAGCCGCAAAGGGATGATGTATTAAACATAAAGAAAATACAAAGAATCGCTACTGAAATAAATGTATAATTGTAGTATATGAATTAGCACAAAACAAGAGAAATTAGCCCAATTACTACAATCAAATCTGAATATAACAGTACTGTCCTTTGGAGGAAAACCACGCTTTTTTAAAGGTAACGATTTCCACAGGTAAACAAGAAATAGATCCTTATGAATAGATCTTTTAAGTTATTATTCAATATTAATAACGATTTTCACTGATAAGTGGAGTAGAGAAAATATTAAAATAGGCTGCTATTTTCATTTTCTAAAACAACATACGTCATCATCCGACAACTTTCAAGCCGATAAATTGGAATTGTTCGCCAAGTCCATCCTTTTATGAAAAAGTTACTATTAAAATTACTATAAACATGACTATAGGTCCAATTTTATGATCTCCACATAAATTTGTATTTTTTGATAGGTGAATTTCGTTTAAATCTTGAAAAAGTAAACTGCACTGTTGAAGATTATTCTCCCAAAATTATACATTACTATACAAGTTTAACATGAACTGTACCATGAAGTAACAACAATCAGTAACTTTTTCAAATGTTCTCCATCAAACCATTACCGTTCAACTCTACCTTATCTACACTGGCGTTCACAGAAGCTTTCACATATCCTCAGTGACTAATCTTTTTGTGTATTCAAGGGTTGCCGACAACGATGTTTCACAAACAGCCTCAAAATGACTAAATCAAAATATAGCAAGTATGACATATGCATACCCTTGTATTCACGTTTTCACGATCAGTGGATGGAAATAAGACCAGAAAACAATGATATTATTATAAGTGTATTCACAAGGTATCTTTCATTAACTTCTTAAGTCTATTAGTCCATTCAATTGATTGGTAGTCTATTTATATCATTTAAATTATTTTGATGGTTGCCTATTTTAGCAACTTTGGTAGATGTGACATCCTGACGAATGTGACGGGTTTAGTGTTTCTTATATTGACTGTTATAATTAGGGAAAAACGGTTTTATTTCAGATTTTACGTGGTATCAGAAAGATAGAATAGAGCCAGTAGAGTTTGTGTACTTAAATTAAGAAAGTTTGTTTGAAACATGAATATTTATATGCTTATATTTTTCCACGTCTTTTTTGACTTCACAAGTGATTACCCAAATCGTTTTTAAAGGAAATCTGACGATTGGATAGAAAATGTTATCCTTACTATCCACTATTTAATAACGACCATGTATGCATTATATATTTCTAGAATAAATCATAACTGATCAAAATACGACTGGAGAGTTAGTTTGTCGAAATGACAAATTTCTAAAGTGTAATGTTAAAAAAACCAGCTTGTAGTATGAATCAACATAAAATTTATATCCAACAGCAGAACACACCAATAAAGTTGGTGAAACAAATGTTAAACATGGATTTTCCATTCCACCATAGGGGAATGTTGGTGGTAGCACCAAGATATCATATATATCCCACACATAAGGTCCACAGATGTTTTCAGCTGCTAAAATCATTTGTTCTGTTTCACTGAATTCATAAGCTGCTTCATCAACTATACTGGGTTCAGCCCATACAGACGAACGTGGACCAATTTTTCTACAAAACACAATTTAGAAATATTACAAGAATTAACTCTCTTTAAGGGATAAAACTAAAAATAAAGTACCATAAATTACTATAAGATAATCCAAACTAAGGTTAGTGGTAATATACAGAAACTATTTGTACACATGTTATCTACAGACTAAACAGTATTTCGAGAACCATTAAAACTTGTTTGAATGAAATGATAGCATAAAATTAATGTGTTCGGTCTAACTAGATTTACGCAGACAGTTTTCGTGATATAATATTGAAATAACATGTATAAAGGTGAACTAAACTGATTTAATTACTCTTACAACTAAACGATGATAAAGATACACAAGAAAATGTTAGAATTGCAACAGCAGTACATTCATAGTAATTCTTAAATACGTCGCTTCATATAACCAAGAATGAAATGATGCAATACACACAGGCTTCCATGTTATGTAGCCGCGAGCTTACCTGCTAGCTAGATCCCCACAAGCAATAGCGATCAGATAGCTGGGGATCGGAACACTCTGTTTGAAGTGGTAAGTAAGGTGGTTATCGTCGGTCAAAAACGGCTCTGCAATTCGTTTGGCACCCATGATGACAACGGTTTCCTTTGGAGCAGTTACCTTTTATCAATGATAAGACATATTTCAGTAAAAAAAATACTCGTTAATTAAGTGTCTATTTGTGTGCAACTGAATCCTGATACAGCAATATCATTATGAGAAAAATGATGTAACTGTACCTCGCAAAAGATGTAATTTATTTTTGAAGGTCAAAATCAACTTCAACAGACCTAGAGGAATGCGACACTTTTAAACTTCATGTTAAACAAACTCGTTTTACTTGTTTAAATAATAGAACTTAATAACCAAGTTTGAGCTCATTTACCAGACTTTGAAATTTATTCTCTGTACTATTACGCCAAACTACAGTATATGGAACAGGAAATGGCCCGTGGTATCTGGACTTTTTAAATCAGAATAATTACCAGGTTGAAAACTTCTAAGTAAGAGAAAAGATTTTTATAGTTTACTATCGTATTTTTAAAGCTTAGATGATTCAGAAATAAATCTTGATATGTTCTGAAGAAATATATCCGACACATCTAGCACTAATTTTTCGGTTCAAGTCACAAAATTTAACCAGCATTAACACAAAATAACACCATTTATTCATGAATACTTGTATTCAAGTAATGGACAGTAGTTACAACCTGCAAATTTTTAATATTTAAAATACGGCTGTAACTATAAAATTCATTATATAAGTGAATGGGTAGTTTTAGGTGTAAATATTTTGGAAACCAATTTACAAGTAAAAGTAGGAATTAAAATAAGATAACTAGGAATACGATCAAAACATCTAGACGTTTTAGAATCCTACATATCAAAAATGAAATGATGTATAAGTTATGATTGATAAATAAACAAATTAGTATATATTGCGTAAATATGTTATATGATCTTCCCTGTTGCAAAAAAAGTCATATAATTGGTGATTTTTACACAAGATTTGTTACACTTTCGGAAGCGTTCTTCATCCGATGTATATATCGTCACTTAAGAATATATTTCACTAGCTATTCTATACTCAATATTAAGCTGAACCATTTTTGCCGCTTTTAAATAAGCTATTTTAAGTGACGTTGCAGGAAAGGTTATCTGATATTAAAATGAAGCACTCACTCTAAAATAATTTCAACTCAACAACACCACCAAGTAAAAGTACTACAACTCACACTGAACGTTTTTAAGGCATATAAAACTAAAGGAGATCCTAAAAAGACTACAAAATTAACAACGAAACGCTAAGACTTTCGAATTCAGTAGTAGAATACGGAAATAGTACTTGAAAATTACAAGTCATTTAAAGATAAAAGCGTAAGTTGTACACGAAAACGATGTACAGATCAACTAATGTAGTAATGATCTATCTCGTAAACCGTGGCAAGTTGAGGTTGAGAGCTAATTTTGGATTCATAGCTTTATCGAAAACTGAAAATTATGACACCCAAACTTAGTTAAGGATGTGCCATCTACTTTACCTTAGCTTCGAAAGGAAACTTTGAAGTTGGAGTATCCTGACAAGGTAGAAGACTACGAGCATGAATAGCTTGACACTGACTGAACATGAACGGTTGACGTCGATCAGCAGTAAGCTGTGGTCCTAGCCACTGGAGAGCAGAAGAATCTGGAGAAGTTTCGTAGTCGATTTTGACATCGTACCTATGAGAAATGGAATAAATTGAGAGTCACATCCAAGACTCACTCATACATGAGAAATAATAGCACTTCAAACAAGATTTAAGCTATTTACAAAAACAATACAACTTACAGATTACGTATAAGCTTTTACACTAAGCTACCAGCTTTATGAATGGTACAGAAGGTAAATTTTCCTAGCTGGTAAGTCACACTTATTTCCACAAACAACAATAGTCCCATTTTAATCTCTTATGTTTTTCGGTTATGGTGGAATAACCAGTATTTTGGTCACCACGGTTGGTTTTGTACTTGTGATGAGTTTGATGGGTATTTCAGTGAAATTGCGTGAGTATCCATTTTTTAAAAGAAAGGCCGTTTAGTAATTTTTCTTTGCTTCTTTGTACGGTAGATGGGCTGGCAATATGGCTTCGCTATTTCGGATACGGTTGGTTTGCATACAACTAGGTTCAAGAGTTACGGGTTCGTTGCAATTGAAACTACGGACAAGCGGGTTCCCAAACACTTGAAGCACTAGGTTTCTCTTACTGAATTTAATTATTGGTGCATCTATAAATGGCAGTTTAGTTAATTTCTTTTCTGGCGCGAATTCTATGCCAAAATATCAACTAACGAAAAATTTATAACAGACAAGAAAATAAGCTACAAACTACCACTTCTAGATCCACTTCGAATTTATTTTTACCTATTTGAGGCTGTATTTGGTATTATTTCTAAACAAGACCCAAAAGCTTGGACAGTAATAGGTTTTAAATGCCATTTCACTGGTTCCGAATTTACGTGCACTGAATGAATCTTTAGGTTCCTTGTATCAAGAAGCTGAAATTTCAAAACACGAAAACTCAACTCAATAATTACATAACACATTTTAAGGGATTTAAATTCATCAAAGAAAATTAATGTGCTATTTTGTTGTTATTCGAGATAAAACCATGACATTGAAGAATGTATTTCACAAAACAACATAGGAGCAGTATAAGGCTAACAAATAATAATGCACGTAATGATAAGAAAGAAAACAATACACAAACGTGCAAGAAAGGCTTAGTAAATTTTCATTTTCAATCTTCATTTTATCACGAGTATCGAATCCCCGATCATTACTACTTCAAGTCATTTAACAAAATCTTGAGTCATTATTTGCCAGAATCCACCTCAGTCATTAATAATAATAATGATAACCATGGTCTTATTCAATAGTATCTGTTTAGTACTATATAAAATTCTCATCACACGATATTTCAACAAATTTCTTCACGAAAAAAATAAGTAAGTACATACATATACACGCGAGATAAGAAATTTAGAATTAAGTGAAATATTTCTAATAAAATAAGAACCTATTCAACCGTGGGTTAGCAATGTTCATGAATATAAGCTTTTCATCAGGTTAACTCTTACAACCTGTTCTTATTTTTTTATTTAAACACGTAAATATTGGTACAAGGAGGAATCGAATATATATGTGCCACACTTCATCATTCGATTTGTGTGAAGGCTTGGATACTGTCCGGGTGCCCAGACCGAAGCAGGTAGTTTTCTTAGGGGGCCACTTCCCGAGCCTTTGACCTAGATGTTTAATCCACAAGGCAGTGGATTAATGTTAGGAGATACAGTCCCATAGTAGCCGGTGAACAACAATAGGTTTATACGCCATTTGTTCCCTCAGGATCCTGGAGCCCATATGCACTATTGGTTTGAAATTAGGGTTTTCCAAATGCCCCAGGTGAACCCTCCATATCCACCAACCCGGTTAAAGCGCCAGACCTGTTCGTCGTATAGTATGTGTTAGGTACGGTCTTTTAAAGCTTTTGCACTTTGTCTGCATGAGTGGATCCTAATGTATCTGCGTCTCTTCCTATCAAAAAATATACAAGGATGAAGATGTAAATGGAGTGTGTGGTTAGCATCTGATGGAATAATACTTGGCAGTCGTTTCCAAGACTTCAGATTTCTATCCACAACCATATTAGCAATAATATTAAAGGATTCACTGTCTTCAGCACTCAATGCAACAAAGCAGAATATTTTCTTAAAAGCCCAAGAAATAGTGGGAGACAATGAATTATAATAGGAAACATACAAGAATTTACATATCGTAAAAGTAAATATTAAGTAATATAGAAAGCATGTAGCCTCTTTACACAATAAGCCAGACGGACAATTTTCTGCTGTATTATTAAAACTAGAGAACACGAGAGATCAGAGGAAAAACTTTCACTAAGTTAAATGACCTGTGACATTGTTTTCAGACTATCGTTCAACGAGCAACAAGAACCGATTCATACCAAAGGATTTTGAAGAAGAAACTGGTATACACACAGTGAGACCATTTTGCATACTTAATAAGTGCCTGTTGTATATGAAGAATAGTGAAGAAAAAATGAGAAAGGAAAAGAAGAGAAAGAACAGTACCTTATGGCAGAACACACTTTCCATCAGGCACAACATACTATTCTCTTTCAAAGTAAGAACATAGTTAATTGGTTATTCAGCTGTGGCGCATATATATCTGATGCCCCCTTGTACCAATGCTTATGTGTTCAAATAAATAAAATAAATAATCAGCTGTTATTTGTTAACGCTGAAAAATTCGCCTACTAATAGTGGTCTTGGAACAGAGTTAAAGGTAGAAGTATAGTGTAGAAATGAGCATCGAACATACTCCCCACCTTCTTTCAAACTGAATGCTATATTATGATGCGGCACAGCAGCATCTAAGGTATTTCTTTTGTATTTGTAAGCAAACGGATCAATATGCTTTTTTAATCCCAGCCAATTATAATCACCTTCCACTTTATATCACGAATTTACAATCTTTGATTTTAAGCTCTTTTTACAATCAGTGAACAAGGCTTAACACACATAGTGACAGCAACGTATTGATAAATAGTGCCAGAATTGCTTTGATCTTGTGGGACAGTCAACAGACGAATGTCTGTAACAGATACATGCACAACAATGTCTATCAGTACAAATTACATTGTCGCTGAGAAGTGCCAGCAACACCGGCGAAATGATAGTAATTTTATGAAATTAGACGTAAATATATAACAGAAAAGACACTAAATCACAAAGCATAGGGTTATTAAGTACGCTGGAAGAAATACCCAATACTCGGTGAATATTATGGCTAGAAAACAGAATTTAAAGATAACTCAGGGGAAATCGCTTCGAACCATAAATAGATAGCTAATCTAACTTGCTTTTCTTGACGTAAGTCTGCCAGTCAATCAAAAAATGGTGAGTCTGTTTGCCTTAAGTAAACGTTCTAGAATTTTTGACAAATAGATAATATTCATAAGTAATTTAGAAGAGACATACAATGTTTGGATTAAGGCTGTCTGGGCAAACTTTTTTCAAGAAGATATTGACTGAACCACTGATAGTTTGTGCATTAAAATTTATTTTCCAATCAATTTCTAATTTATCCGTTGTATAAACGCTCGGATCAGAATAAGAAGAATGATTCCGAGTTTCTACCATTCTAGGAACTAAAATGTAAAAATGTATGACTTAGGTATAAATACGTAATTATACTATAAGATGAATAGGAAAACTAAGCACATTCGAATAATCAGTCATATACTACTGGAAAATCGCTCTGTTGAAGAACACAAGCATAGTTTTGCAATTTACATGAGTAGCAAACTTGCTAATAAGTACGTACACAGAAAACAAGACAGTAATACACATAATCAGTCATAAACAACGTAAGTCAAAGAAAATATGCATCCGTATAGGTTGTCACATATCATCTCATTCATTAACGCAAAGCCTGGAACAGATGTACGAGATAACACTAATCATATTCATAAGAGATGGGTCGAACTAATGGTAGCATATATGATAAGGAAAGTGACTAAACACTGCTCTTTCTAAACCCTTTCTCTTATATTTAGATTCATATCAGAAATGGAATAAGTCCCTCTCCATTTCTTCTTATTTTGTTAACTTCTTACCATTCATACTGTGAAGTATGGGAACGTGGACCGAGAATCATTCGTACTGAGTCCCATGCTGATGCTCAGTGAGAAAAGACAAACCAGAAAAGGAATTAAAAGCATGACATAATATTAAAACTTGAGATCTATGGGATAAACAACGAACGTATTGATCCCTTCCTTCCCATTTTGGGGTGTGCAACGTGAGGTTTGAAACCACTGATCACGATTATTGAGAGTACCCTGATCAGAGTTGGGACCTCTTTACAACCCTTGGACTGACAGTCGACGATTATGTGGACTAATAACACATGTTCGGGTGCCCCAAGATTCATCTGAACCTAATTCTTCAACAGTCAGCGTTCAATGGACAGTGGCCAGGTGGTTAAAGTACTCTATTTTTATCCATTAAAGTAGGAACTTAGCTCAAATAACTTTTTCTGAGCCGCTGAGTAGTGTCATTAGGCTGTGGTGTGTCACTGCTGTGTAGCTTAAGATTGACTACAGAAAATTGTACTGAATAAATCACATTGTTGTGGTGTTTGCTTATTTATTTTAACACAGACATTGGTACAAGGAGGCACCAAATACATATGCGCCACACTTCATTCGATTTGTGTGAGGGCTGTGATACTGCTCGGGTGCCCAAACCGAAGCAGGTGGTTTTCTTAGGGGGCCACTCCCCGAGCCTTCGACCTGAATGTCTGATCCACAAGGCAGTGGAGCATCGTGAGTAGATGCAGTCCCATCGAAGCCGGTGACCAACAATTGATTTATACCCTATTTGTTCCCGCAGGATACTGGAGCCCATGTGCACCATTGGTTTGGAATCCGGTTAAAGCGCCGGACATTCGCTTTTCGTCCTCTCATTTTCGTAAACAACACCCCCGAAACGAGAAGGCAGTGAGTAGGACTTCCCTGGCAGAGGCTATATACGCGTGGCCATGTGGTGTTTGTATGAACTAATGACTCCTTTGTACTTGATGACTGTCTGATTTCGAATTCCAAATGTAACACGTTCATTTGTGGTCAACTAGTTGTGTTTGGTCTAAATTGTGCTATTTTGAGGATTCCTAGTTCATGTAATAATTCAAATACTTCTAATCATCACATTGGTGTCGATATGGGGTCTGTGCTGGAACAGTTGAACATATATTCGAATTTGGATGCTTTTGAGGGCTATATGGAAAGGTTCGAAATCTGGACTGTAACCAAGGTAGATTTTGAGGACGTTAATATTGTGGCATTTTTCCTTACATTTATCGGGAGAGAAGCCTAAAGTTAAACAAAAACTTTGGCATTTCCAGAAAAGTCTATTTCACTTCCATATGCAACTCTCAAAGGGGTTCTAATACTAAACCATATAAAGTGTACAAATTCCGAATGTGGTAAAGGAGAAATTTCATAAAATGATTCGTTAGGATATCAAGAATTCTACTACATTATTGAGTCATCCCAACCCGATACGTATTCAGACAAAAATTCATTGAGGAGTTACGAATCAGGTCACGAAGATGAGTACACGTTTGGAAACTCTTTGTCCTATTGCAAAATTTCATTCATGTGTATTTCGTAATGCTAAATGCTTTAAATATGATAAGATAGGATACATTCAGGTAGTTTGTAATACTACTGTTCATTTCGCTGCAAGTAATGCTAAACTTTGTATTTCCGATCCTATTAAGTTGAGTGCTTCTAATGATCATTTATCTTGATCCACGAATTCAAAAAACTGTATAAACACAAACCAGTCCAAAATTAAATGGAACTCAGAACCACTGAGACAAAAACTTCTAGTCAATCAACTTGTCACATTTCTCATGTTATTTTATCAGATGTCATTTGTCCTAATGATTCACATATTTGTGATGAAATTTATACAATCTAGATCATGCAGTCTGTGTCCAATACAAAATCTAACAAATATACATTGCAACTACAAAGAAGACGTTCAATCGATTAAAGAAACTTAGGTTCTAATTTAAGCTGTGGCGGTTGGTGTTTGTATAAACTAATGATTTTTCCGTACTTGATCCTCCTCCTAATTTCGAATTTCAAATACAACACGTCCGTTCGTGCTCACCTAGTTCTTCTTGGTATAAATTGCACTATTTCTGGGATTTCTAGTTCGTATAATATCTCTACGTATCACAACTGCTATTCATGGAAACACGTACAGTTCATCCTAGGTATTAACGCAGAAAATTACACATAACCAAGACACATAAAATATCGTAGTTAGGGTGAGTTACAGCCTTAGTAATGAGCAAAAGAAGCTTTACTATTAGTGTTTAATTGCTCTAGTGAGTAATGGATCATTTATGCAACGGCATTCTTAATGAAAAAATTACTATACCACTGACTCACATTAAATGACCTCTGAATAACTACTTACTCCAAGAAATACGTTTTGTAGGTATTAGTTAAAGACTAACCTCTAATGATAAAAAATATGTTGCAAAGTCGTCGTTTGCTCGTTGTTGTAAACAAAGTGTAACAGAGTTCCACTGCATTTTAATTCTGAAGAGCACAAGGACCTCTTCTATTACCAAAAATATTTTAATAAGTTGCGTTAAGCAACTATAATGGATGTCAATCAACTTGAGTTGCGACACTCCATGTTTTTTTCCAGAAAGTTAACTGGGAACATAGATCACAATCTTTTGTCCATTAAGACTATCTATCATTAACCTCTTAGAGATACTAATCTATGTCAATCCGTTCTACAGATATACGAATCTCGCTCACCATAGTGCGCCAAAAGCCCGCAATGTTTGCTAGCCAGTCTTGTCATAGGAAATAAAACCAAATGATTTAAGATAGCACGCATTAACCCTTTAGTATGCTCTAAACCCAACAAGATGAGTTGTATTTCAGCTAAAACTTACGTAAGACGATCAATATGTACACTTGACCTTTACTTTCAAAACGGTTCGAACGGTCGTGAACAGAATGATTTAAATGGTTCTGGATGTAATAAAAGAAGCTCCCACATAACGGGCTACCTTATCTGGTAGCAATCAATCACTGATGCCTCCAGGTAAGAACCTGGGTAATCTTAACAATATAAGAGAAAGGAAAGACTAGCAAATCATAGTGGGATACTGTACTTAGTCCTTAAGAATATATCAAGTTTTCACCTTAAGAACTCTTTGGAAGTGGCTTGGACTAGCTCAATTGGCAGAGAGTACATATATTTAACTACTCTTAAGGAGTAGAAGGTGTGCCTTTAGTTCGTCCTGTTATACTGTTTCTGTAGTTTCTGCGTGCTAATCCTAAGGTTTGTGTTAGGATTAAAATTAAGTATGTGTTTAAGGGGATGTTCATTAGTGTTCAGGGTGCTATACGTCATTAGAAGGTCACCTCTAAGACGCCTGAACTCTAATGGGTAAAAATTCAGTAGTTGGAGGCGCTGTTCATAAGACTTGAATTTGGATCATCGAACCGATTTCGTGGCTCGTTATCAAATGCGTTCCAGTGTGTCC